AGCAGCCGCAGTGAGCGGCCGTCCAGAAGCCGGCGACTGATCTGCCTCGCCTGGGAAGAGCGCAATGATGGTGCCAACTTGGGCCAGTGAAGCAACACCCTCCACAACTAGACTGAAGAACAAAAGGACAGCAACTTGTCTGTTTCCATTCCTCCAATTCCCCAACAACAACAACAAAAAAAGAAGAAATGGATTTGACTTTTCCCAGGGGCCACGGAGCCTCAAGGGTAAAGCATGGGGCCAAGGGAAGAGTCTGTTCAGTGTTGCCCGCCCTTTTCTCTGGGAAGAGCTCCTGAGTGCCTCTGGACAAGCACACCCACTCTGTCTTTGGGTCCTCCCAGTCCTCCAGCTTCGGAAGGGAGCCTATGGCACAGGCCCCGCCCATTGGCTTGTCTGACTCCAGTAGACCCAGGGATTGGTTGGGGAATGGCCATGTGACCTAACCCTGTCCAATGAGGGTGAGTCCTGGGATATTTGCTGCAACTACTGGGCAATAGGTACCCTGTGCTGCTGGAACCTCAGTTTGCAGCAGCAGGAGGCTAACTTCCCTCCCAAGGTTGGTGGGTGGGGGCTGAGACTGGCACCAACACAGAGAGAAGCAGGACAGGAAATGGGGAGAACAGGTTCCTGGTGACATTTCTGAGCACCTGGATTCAGCTTTTCTTGGACCACCCTCTGTATATTTTAATTTTGTGAGTTAGAATGTTCCCTTGTTTCCTTAAGCCTATTTGAGTTTCTTTCACCTGCAACAGAAAGCAGCTGAAGTAATATAAATCCCAGACAACCCTCATGAAAAGAGCCTGGTCGCCAACTTTACAAATCCCATTAGCCACTAATTTTTAAGCATAAAAATAATGTGAAACGTGCAACCATGATATAAAAGATGGCATTTTGAATTTTTTGGGAAGTGGGTAGTTATATTAGTGAGGCTTTCCCTTAGTTACCCAGAATTTCAACATCACCCCAAGCCCCAAAACATAAAATATCCCCTTGCCCTACTTTATTATTTTCTCCTTAGCACTTATGATCTAACATAGTAAATGTTTCACTTGTTAACTTTTTTTTATCATCTGTCTCTCCCCAGTAGAATGTCAGCTCCATGAGGACAGGGATTTTTCTATGTTTTGTTCATTGGTATGTCTTTATATAAGTGGGAACTGGTACATAGTAGTCATCTTACAAATTATCATTGTATTTGAATATAGAGTAAATTAATCTATTGTGGGAATTACATTCGATTACTACTAAGAGATGAAAAGCAAGCAATATGGGAGTTTATTTCCATTGCACGTAAAAGGAATCCGGAGGTCGACGGCCCAGGGCTGGTGTGTGATTGCACATTGTTCTCTGGGACCCAGGGATCTTCTATCCTCTGTCCTCAGTGCATAGCTTCCTTCCTCAAGGTCATTTTTTGGTCCAAGACAGTGGCTGGTGCTCCAGCCACATCATATGCCTTCCAAGAGGGAAAAAAAGAGAGACTCTCTAATGTGCATTCCTAAGAGAATAACGAACTTCTATTTACATCTCATTGGCCACCCCTGGCTGCAAAAGAGGTTGGGAAATGGAGTCTTTTAGATAAGCACCTTGCCATTCACAGCACAAATCAGTGTTTTTTTACTACAGAAAAAAGATGAAGATGGATGTTGGGCAGACAGCTAGCAACCTCTGTGTGTGTGTGTGTGTGTGTGTGTGTGTGTGAACAACTAGAAGCCATATAAACAAGTAAATGATAGTACACACATCCACAAGATAGAAAACTATCCAGCCATTAACAATCTAGTTTTTGGAAAACTCTTACTAATGTGAGAAAATGTCTATGATATAATGTCACATGCAAAAAAAAAAAAAAAAGGGAGGGGGGATATAAAACTACCCAAAGACTTCCATTTATATAACCACAGTTTCCAAATACACACACACACACACACACACACACACACACACACGACAAAGATGTTAAAGAAATACTCCACAATTTTCATAGCGTTTCTCTCTAACTAGAGCAATTACAGGTGGCTTTTATTTTCTTTTTTATACTTTATTTTTCAATAAACCTGTTGCTTAATGGTGACAATAGGCAGGTCGTTTAAATTTTAAATAAAAAGTGGTACAGTGAAAGGAATTATCATTCCTGACTAGCTCAGTGCCATTTCACCACATGGCAAAGCCCAGGGTCAAAAAGAAAAGCAAGGGAATAAAAACGGGAAAAGATGAAAGAAGGAAAGAAAAGCGGAGAGAAGAGAGGAGCGCGGGAATGGCTGGAAAGGAGCTGTCAGGAGGGGACAGGAAGAGGGGAAGGAGTGGGGAGGAGTGACAAGGAGGGAAATAGGAGAAGCCTGATGGTTTCCAAGAGGCTGCGCTTCTTGCTGGGCAGGACTTCAAAAAGAGCACTGGAGTCGTGTTTCTTCCACAAACTCCTAAGAGCCCTCACCCCCCTTCCCTAACCTTGACCACCATCCTCTCAAGGGCAAGCTCTAAGCGAGGCCCTTGGGTGTTTTTCTTTGATCAAGGAAACCACGCAGCAAACCCCACAGCTGGCACTGACTCATTCTCTCTCCCCTGCCTCGCAGCCTCTCTGGGCTCCTTTTTGGCAGCCCCTGACTTCTATGAACCCAGCTGTCTCAACTCAGAAACCTCCCCCCAAACCCCACTCCAGCCTTCAGCTTGCACTGGGGGCAGGGGGCCTGGAGGTAGAGTTCATCTCTAGCTAGTTATGCCCTCAGAGGAGACAGACATCAACACCGATCGGTAAATAATGTGGTTCACCAGCCCTTCCAGACATCCTGCCTGGAGCAGAGTTGGGCCCTGGAAGAGTTCATGGGAAACCCTGAGGATCAAATGCTTATTCAGCAACCACGAGCTGTATCTTGGATCTGAGTCTCCAAAAAAAAAAACAAAGATGTAATTTTCTTTTAAGATGCTCTCCTCCCCTCTCACCAGCCAGCACGCCATTTCCAAGTATAGGGGCCTCCAAAAACAATCCTGATGCAGAACTTGAAATTGAAATCATATTTTCTAAACTTGTGCAGTCGAGACACAGGTCAGATGCCCCGTGGAGTTCACAGCAACAGCAAAATGGTCCCTCCCAGGCTCCCCTCCCCTCCATCCCCTCTGAGAAGTTCCAACTGTAGAGAAACGTGGGAAGGTAGTCAGGCTTGGACTGTTTGGTTCGGTATCCATTAGAAACAGGGGTTA